CGATCCGACTCAACAGCACATAACAACAACAACAAGTGATCCCTTAGGAGCTCTGGTGGTGTAGTACCTAAGGCACTTGACTGCTAACCAGATGGCTGGTGGTTCAAACCCACCGGCCACTCCTCGGAAGGAAGATTGGGCAACCTACTTCCATAGTGATACCACCTCGGAAACCCAGGGAGGGTTTGCTATGAGTCGGATCCGACACGACGGCAGTGAGTTTGGTTTTTGGAGTGATCCCTCATGACAGAGTTGAGCTGCCCTGTGGGTTTTCTAGGCTGTGATTTTTACGGGAGCAGATCACCAGGTCTATCTTCTGTGGAGCTGCTGGGTGGGTTCAAACTTCGATCTTTCAGTTAGTAGCTGAACGCTTAACCATTGGCCACCAGGGCTGCTCCTATGTGCATATGAGGGAGGATTAACTGCCATATAAAGACAGTGATGTGATTCAGTCATGTTGCCCATTGAGGCCTTTTCAAGTCAGACTTTGTTTTCACGGGAGGGGTTTTAGCATTGGTCACGCTGCACTCCCAGGTAGAGATGACCTCTTTGGTGATGCAGTTTGTAGCTGTGGAGCATGTCATGGCAGCCACGGGCAGGGGCGGGACAGCCGTGGACATGCATGGAGTGACATAGCCCTGAGGCAGCACCTCTGAGCAGTGCAAAGGGCAGAGCCAGGGCACCAGGGCAGGGCATGAGACCTGCCACGCACCCAGGCCTTGGCTGACGCTGCCCTCCCTGCTCCCCCGCAGCGATGAAGAACCCGAGGGGGTCATCCTCCCGAAGGACAAGCTCGTTGCCCTGTGCAAATACGACCCCATCCTGAAGTGGATGCGGAGCTGTGACCACATCCTGTACCAGGCGCTGGTGGAGACACTCATCCCCGACGTGCTGCGGCCCGTGCCCAGTAAGGTCCCGCGCCTCTTCTCTCATCCTGTTTTAAAGCTGCATGTCCTTAACTACCTTATGACCCGTTGCCATTGAGTCACTCCCAGCTCACAGCAACCCCACATGTGTCAGAGTGGAACCGTCCTCCATAGTGTTCGGTGCTGAGGTCTCAGAAGGAGATCACCAGGCCTTTCTTTGGAGGCACCTCCGGATGACTTGAACACGCAACCTTCACTTAGCAGCTGAACCAGCTAACTCTGTTTGCATACTCAGGGATCCACAGCCACCTTGCACCATCAATTTTTCAGAGTCGGGGCGTGGTGAGCATAGCTGCACTCTCAGGCCCTGAGATGGGTGTGGTCCTGACTACAAACTTTTCCTTATTACTAGCTCCAGCAAACAGCAAGACGGTGGGAACACTCATCCCCCAGGGGGCTCTCATGGGGCCAGGGCTGCGGAGGCTTCTAGTTTACTGCCTCCCGTGGGTTACGGTAAGCCTCGGGGAAGAGTATTGTCCCAACTGAAAGACAGGGATGCTTGTACACAAAGCCATCTCTTAACAAATTAGCACATTACTGCATCAGGCACCGTAGGTTCTGCCTACCAAGTGAGCTGTAGAAATGTGTGCAATTTAGTACTAGGCAAAGGCCAGTCCTTTGTAATGAACTGGTATACATCTTTCTGCCAGAAAATAGGAAATAGCAAAACTATTGCATTTCTCCCTTGGCCTTACTGCGAGAAAACAGTCAATCAAACTAAACGCTCAATTACAGCTCTATATTAAGGTTCCAGTTTGGAGTATATTTCATTTTACATTTCTATGACTTTTTTCCTCTATTGTAACAGTCAGATAATTTGTTTCTTATGATAAACCTTCTCAAAATCAATTTGGAAGTTGGGAGAATCCCTTTACATACATGTGTGTCCATATCAGGGATTCTCCATCTCGACCCTGATGACAGGGGGCCCAGATCCTTCTCTGGAGTGGGCTGTCCTGTGCACCATCGGGTGTTGAACAGCATCCCTGGCCTTCACTCACTCAAAATCGGTAGCACCCTGCTCCCAGTCATGACACCCACAAATGTCCCCAGATACCACCCACTGTCCCCCGGGAAGGAGGAATCAACCCAGTTGGGAACCAACCACCACCTTAGATAGACAGGTGGGTAAATGGATGGATGGATGGATGGATGGATGGATGATGGAATGGATGATGGAATGGATGGATGGATGGATGATGGGATGGATGGATGGATGGGTGGATGGGTGGATGATGGGATGAATGGATGATGGGATGGATGGATGGATGGATGGGTGGATGATGGGATGGATGGATGGATGATGGGATGGATGGATGGATGGGTGGATGATGGGATGGATGGA